CGATATATTTATGTGTGTTTAACTTTGGCTTGGTGTCATCCTGATGTATTTGCTTGTTGCAGCCACAAGGGGACAGAATATATAGAATTATAGTTTAAAAAGCTGGTCAATGCACATCTGATGAGGCTGTGTACTCTAATGTACGAATCTACTAATTCAAATTAAAATCACACTATAGAAATTAACACGCTCAGATAATTAGCAATGATATAATATAACAAACTAATGTTAGCATACTGTTGCGTGATTATATAAAGCCCTTGTTGAGTTGTGGTTCCTCGATGTTTCCTCACAGTTTGTGACCAGGGTTTCACATGAGAAGACAACAACTGACCTGATGTTCATAGGGGTGCGTTCTATTCCTCCAAGCCTCACAAACCAAAGAATGGAAAGATAAGAAACCAATCAAATGATAAACATGGAGGTTGAGTCAAACAAAAGATACCATACAAAAAAGTGTATTGAAATAGATAACGACAAATAAATCCATTCCAATCATGCAGAGGGAATATGTAGTTAAAGAAGCCCCATGATACCTTTTCATATTGTCAATAATTATATTTATTATTTTCAAAACTGGTCAGGGCACATAGCACCTGTGAGACTCCATCTTTGTTGTACCCTGTTGTTTGAGTGTGCAATTGTTCACCATGAACACGGGCATGGCACTAAAAAGAAAAAACGTATTTAAAAATATTTCAAAGAGCAACAGCAGGAAATGTTACATTTTGTTTGGTCAGTGGGATTACGCAAAAACTACTGGACGGATTTCCATGAAACTTGGTGAAAGGATGGGACATGGATAAAGAAAGAACCAATAAAAATTTGGTACGGATCACAACAATGGGGCGGATCCAGTAGATAAAAACCTGGTTTGGCCAAGGGCCTTTCTGTCTGCACGGCCTGTGTCTTTTTCTCCGATTTCCTCCCACAGTCAAAAGACAAGCAGACTGAGGTTAAACTAATCTGAGACTCTAACTCGACAGGTGTGAATGTGAGAGTGAATGGATGTTTGTCTGTATGTTGGCCCTGTGTTGTATAGATACAAACTGATAAAAATGGTGTCAAATGTTGTGAAAAAGTCTTCTAACCAGAAAAGGCTTCTCTTTCCTGCTCCTCTACATTTCAATGTCTGAAGTTTGCATGCATGCATTGTTCACTGATTGAGCCGATCCAGACGCAATCACAATAAATATTTTATTTTCACCATCAAAAATAGACAAAAGTTCTTCATGTGCAACAACTACTAGTCACCGACATTCAAAAGTTCCATTGTTGTCTTCCTCTTGTTTCAAATATACAATATTTTACCTTGAGTTCACACCAGACAGTGAGGGTTTATGTTGATGGCCGATGACGCTGAAAAAAATAGATCACATTTCTCAAATACTAGAACAAAGTCTCAAATACATTACAGCACAAAGTACAAAAATACATTCTTTGGCTTGGTGGGCGGGTTAGTCCGAGCAGATGTTGATAAATTCAGCTGTAGTTACTGACTACAACTGTTTTCATCGGCGTGTGGTTTCTTTTAGTCACACCAGCAGCTCTGAGGGGACGTCCAACTTTTGCCTTCGATTCACAGTCAACTATGATCTATTTATTCTCTTTCAAACTCTTTCATGTTTCCCTTACAAGGATTCAGCAGAGTAAGAAACATATTTTCAACATGAGGAGCAGATGGACAAATGTAGGCACACGTCATTTTCTGCATATTTTTTTATGCGTTTATATAACCTCACCCAAAATTTGCAGGTTGTCCGCAATGAGAATGGACAAAATCTGCATTCACTCCAGGGTCAAATCCACGGGAGCAAAAAACAAACAAAATTCCTCTACTGGCAATGGGTAAGGATTCAATCACCTTTTTCTAGTGGGTTCACCTGCATTTAAAAATACCTGCGTATACCCACTAATTTTGGTGTAAAAGAGGAGACTGAATTTAAGGATGGACCACACCTCTTCACTTCCACCACTATCCAAAAATGAAACCGAAACATTCTGGATGCAAACGTCGCCATCTTGTGCATTTGGAGCCTCTGAATTTCAAATCACTTTTTTTGTACTTTGAATTTTTATTTTGTTTCATGTCCCATCCAATAACATTGAGGAGGCGGGGTTTATGACACGCACAGCAGCCAGTGCCCAGAGGGTGATCGAGATACTTTGGCTTCACTTTCAGGAAGCTACCATGTCGTCCATCTTTATATCAAGTCTATGGTTGCTACGTATTTCTCTCAGCACGCTCCTGCATGGCACAGTAGAACCAGAGTTTAATACCCTGTAAAGAAAGAAAGAAATGCCCCATGAATAAGGCTTGTGCCTTCATGACGTCTAAACACAATAGCAGCATCAACTGATTGCAACCGCACACAAGTCGAGAGACCTTGTTTTTTAACATTTTCCAGCTCCACACCTTGTTATTATAGATGCTTTCAGACGTGCAGTGAAGTCCGTGTGGGAATACAGCAGGAAAACGTCTGGAAAAATCACAGCTAGCAAGTAGGCGTGTTGATGAAAAAAGATACAATATGGCGTCATCTACGTGTATGAAACAATTAATTCAACATCTTCGAGAGCTTTTGGCAATAAGAGCAGACGCCAGTGTTGTGCTCTTAACGTGATTTCCCGCAGCTGAGTTTTACACGTTATGTTCTGCCTCCCAGCCTCCGCCCCTCGACTGAAATTCACTGTTGTTGTGAACACGTCTCACCCGGACAACCTCATGCTGCATTTCTCATATGTCAGACTCCGGACCCATTTTCTGTCTGAAGGAACAGATGTGAATCCACTTTGGTAAATGCTGAATGAGTCCACAACACAATGGCTTTAATGATGCGTGTTTTCATTGAAACAAAGTCCCTGTGAGGGTCACAGCTGGGTTCTGCTGTCCTGTAGTTGCCTCGTGCACGCAGCAGTTCTGAACTGAGGGAGGTACAGCGGAGACAAACCACCCGTCGAGTCTGACATCGGTCCGCTCGAGTCCTCAGGGTCGAGCAGAGGGCGAGACTCCACACAACAGTCCTCCCTGCTCAAAACTACATTTTTACGCAGCTCCTCTCTCTGCTCCTCCTCATCCTCACTCTCCTCATCCTCTGCTGGATAGTCCGTTCCTAGATAATACAAGTCCTTCTCACCTCTCCCCTCGCCTTCATCTTCTTGCTCTGATGTTTCGGAAAGCTCTTCTACAGAGTTGTAGGAGCAGGAGCGTCTCGGGTCGTCCATCTCCCCGCCCCGGCAGCTCTCGAGCTCCCACAGACCTCCAGGGAAGGATCCTGAAATGTCTGAGTTGTTGGCAGAGAAATTGCCCTCGTCGCTGGAGCTGCTGCCACTTCCTCCCTTGTAGTGGAGATGAATGGGCGGTTGCTCCTGCTTCGGATCAGAGAGCAGCACTGTGGTGTATGTGACTGAGGACTGGGCAGAGTTGTCAGTGCTGCCCGGAGGCTGCGAAACGACGGGTAGTAACTCCTCGATTCTTGGGTATGAACTGGTCAAAGCATCCAGATTAAGGTCTAAGGAAGGAGCTCCACCCAACAGCACCTCGCTCTCCCTGAACTGGCCTTGGTCGACCTCAGAATCAATCCCTGGATGGAGAGAGATGGATAAGGTAGTGGCCGGGTCAGTGGTCAGCGGCACGAGCGGGGTTTGAACCAGGGCGGTGGTCGGAGCTGAGAGGTCCGCTTTGTCCATGATGACGACTTTGGAGATGTTCTCAGAGGGCATCAGCAGCGACCAGGAGGGGAGACCCTCTGAGGGTCCGAACAGGTGGTCCAAGGTGTCGTTCTAGAAACAAATACAGAACCAGATGTGTAAATAGAAGAAGGACGAAGGACAATGAACTTGAGCAAGAACGTTTCATCGATAATTACCGATAATATTTGACTTATCAGTGTTTGTATATCCCAGATGCGTTGAAGAAATAGAAGTAAATATATTCTTTTTACCTTTTTGAAGTCCAGTCCTTTAGCCCACGAGCACTTGTATGGGTTGGGTACATCCTTCCACACAAACTTCTTCATTCTGGGAATAAAATGCAGGAAACGTTTAGGTCCAAACATCTTTTCTTTCTCCCTTTCCTTTGTCTCTTGCCTGATTTCTCCTCCCACCAGCAAACATAAGGTGTAATTAGACCAGTGTGACCTGTGAAATGTCACGCTGGTAATTTTTCACGGTCCTGTCTCTGCTCCCTCAATTAAGCAGCAGCACAGAGATTAACCTCATCTGTCATTTCTTGCAAGTGTCAGGGTGAAACACAAATTCACGACACACTGACGCTGTAGATATCGCGACCAAGAGCAAGACAAATATACATATTTAATAAAGATATGTACGGTAAAAAATATAATTTGTGATAACTCACAAACTATTTCTGAAATTAAAGAATGTAATTGCTTCTGACTGAAGAGGTGTTCTTACTGGTTTTGGGAGATGATCAGAGTAACAAACAGGACGATGGAGAGGAAGGAGATGATCATCAGCATCATGTAGGCTGCAGGGTCTCCTCTGGTGGCTGTAACAGGTGGAAATGAGAGGTTAAAGGTGCTTAAAGTGATGATAATGAGGCTGCTTTTGTATCTACAGCAGAAAACATGTGAATATTGGTCTCACCTATTGTGTACATTGGCTCCCCTTCCCCGTCTGCAAACACTGGGTACAAGTGGAAGCCGTATTCCTCTGAGCCAAAGAAATCCCCTGTGAGATGATAGACAAGGTTAGAGGTCAGGTTACAATAATTATAATAAACTAGGTTTATAGCACTTTTCTTTAAGATACAAATTTCTTAACAGAAAGACAAAAATTGAAAAGGAAATTAAAGCAACACTATGCAACGTTTACTGAGCAACATTACCCTCTGCAGGCACATGTGGTGATTAATTCTGTTGGGCTCTCTGTCTATTCGATTATATTGAACTAGAAAAGACACAAATACACCAAACTCTGCTCAGAATTCGAGATAGTTTATAAGTTTACTAAATATCTGAGGTTTTTAACTCATCTACAGTTCAGCTTTACTCTCTAACTTGCTGAATCTGGTTCTTGCAATTGCAGATGCAACTATAATTCAGTTCCACACTTCTCACCAGAGATCCCCAAAGTGCAATACAGCAACATTAGACTTTCAGTGTGAGGAGTCTGAGGTGGGCATGTGTATATTTGCTTTTGTAGTGTTCAGTGATTCCCTGATTGATTCACAGTTAAAAGGAAAAAATGAGAAGAGAAAGAGAAGATGTCACCTCTCAGATGTACAGGACAATCTGTGTAGGGAAGTCGGACCCATGTTTCGCCACTGTAGGCTTTCTGATGATCAGACCCCTGCTGTCTCTGTGGTACGGTCCACTGGACCACCATGGACACAGGCACAGATCTGTTGTCCAGCAGAATCCAGGACAGAGACACAGAGGTGCTGTTGATGACCGACACGCTGAACGAGCTCACACAGCGACCTGCACACCGGAGAGAACAGAGAAGAACAGTGTAACAGAGTGATGAAACACAAGCTCAGCAAGACACAGTGAACTTAACCAGAATAATCACTTTCCTCTTTAAGGCTCTGGAAATGTACTGGAGCTGTTTCAGTTCATTTAGATTGAGAACTAGTGATTTTGATCATCATTGTTTCCTGTACGACCTTTTATTAAATCAAATAATTAGACATTTCTTACACTTAGTGTTACATAGTGTGATAAACAACTTAATGGTTTAATGAGAATGAAAATGTGAACAATGTGTTCGGCTGATTCACCCGCTTCTGGTTTCGCTGAACACATTTGGTCAGAATACTAATGGAAAAACATCCAACAAACGACTCCCTCTAGAAAACAAACACTGACCATCTTCGTAAAAACCATTAAATCCTGCAGGTTAGTGGTTTTATGAAAGTAGCCTGGATTATGAGTAATAGGAGAGAAACAAAAACATTTCTATGTATTACAGCAAACACAGTGATTCAAAAACAAACCTTTTGACCTCCGTTCTGCTAATGGCATGTAGTACAGCAACTCTAATGGCTGCAGGATCCACATGAGAGCTTTCAAAGGATCCCTACAGACATATGTTTTAAGCGAAATTATTCGCATTTGTGACTGTTGTTGTGTCTGTTCTGTTCAGGCTGCCGATGTTCTGAGATATTTTACATTCTTAAAATCCTGATTCATGGTTTTAGACTGATCCTGGTGGAATAAATTGTTTTTATGATCATAATCTTATTTCTGAGTTTATAATCACATTTCTGTAAAATTTTGATTTGTTTTGTCTCTAGTATAATTTTTGTCTCTTTCTCATCTCATTATTAGTCCCTATATCTTTGCCAGGACACAAAGTATTTCATGTTTAATCAAATTCAAAAGATGTATTTGATTAAACAAGGTCACCTACTGTCTTGTATATGGCTCCAGCTAATGACTATTGATCAGTATTGATTCATCCATCCATTATCTACACCTCTTATCCTTTGAGGGTCACTATATTGATGAGTCTATAAAATATCCACAGAAAAGTCAAATATTTCAATCACAATTTTTCAAGTTGATGTCCCAACGGCCGAGAAGGAGCAAAGTTTCACAATCCGAACAAAAGATTATCTGCCAACTTTAATATCTACTCGACTTTTTATAATTGGACTGTTTTTGTGGGACGATAATGAAAACGATAATGAGGTACTGATAATTGATATTCTGGAATAACCTCAGCCCGCAGTGGCTGAGAGAAGAAGAAACGATGCCCCAGCTCACTCACGTTTTGGTTTTTGCTCCAGCGTCATGTTGATGTTGTTGGCGGAGCTCCCACGACTGTTGTAGGCCTTCACGCTCACAGTCTGCGGCTCCTGGTTCCACTCAAAGCTGTAGGAGGACGCCGGCTCGATCGAATTCCTCGTCACAATGCCGCTTGAGGTTTGATGCTGAACGATGAATCCATCCACACAGTATGAGCGCCCCGATACCGGGAGATCCTGGAGAACCAAGCATAACGCTGATTAATCATGAATGCGAAAGTTGCTGTTATTTTAGATTCTTTAATTGAATCCAAAGGGCCAGCTGGGCCTTGGCGGAGACATGCGATCTACTGAGTACCATTCTAACAATGTGTATTTTCATGTGTGTACCTTAAACAGCAGCGTGACATTGGTCTGGTTCCTGTACGGGTCATCTTGAAGAATTCTCCAAAAATTAGGACCACGCTCAGGAGCTGAGGAGGAAACCAACAATTGCATAACACTGCAGCTTCCTCTCTGTGAGTGATGGTGGGGATGGTATTTGTCCAACATTTTCCATTAGAGCTACAGTCAGGAGGTTGGATTTCATTTAAAAGGTTACATCATTAAAAGGGTCGAGGAGTGATATAAATGATGTTTTACCTCTGCTGTTTTGTGGAGCCGAGTAAACAGAGTCGCTCCACTCGCTCCAGTAGCCGGTGCCGTTGGTGTGCATGCAGCGAACCTGCACCACATACACTTGGCACATGTCCGGCACTGCAACCTCCGACAAAGCAACCCGCACTGGACTCTGGACCTGCAGATGTGAGGGCGAGAGAGTGAGACTGAAATCAGTGGACTATGGTCTTAAAAAAAATGATATGAGGTCATGTCAAACTGACAAGCTGAAACCATGTCAAAGCCTCTGTGTCATTTAAGAAAGTATGAGACCTGATTATTATTTACCAGCTGAGTCCTGGATGTTTGGTCCTGTGGTTCTAGAAAGAACCACAGATGTCTTATACACACAATGAAATCTAATCTAAGGTCGACCCAGCCCTCTTTTTAGAAGGAAATAACCATTAATGAACAAAAGAGGATTGAAAGTGGACCTTGGCCAACACCCTGTTATCCAACAATGACAAAGAAAGTGAGAGATCTGATCATTTGTTTTACGTAAAGATCAGTTAAACCACAGTATCAGGCCGAACTTTCACTCACCTTCCACTGCGGCTGAGCTCTCACCATGGACAGCGAGTGGTACCGAAGCTGACACTGGAGCCCCTCGACCGGCAGAAACGGGGGCTTCCAGGTGACCAGCAGGGCCCCGCTGCTCCGGCTCACTGCCTCCACGTTAGTGGGGGTGTGGGGTTTGACTGCAGGGAAGAAAACAACAGAGTTGGAGTTTGTCTCGAGAGATTTCAGAAAGTATGAAAACTGTTGTAGAGCCACAAATCATCATACATGAAGTCAGAAACAGCTCTAAAACAAGTCAACTCGTCCTCACCATGATCTATGGGCGACAGGTAGACGGGTTTGGATCTGATCGGGCCGAGCCGGGACGCCACCTCCAGCCACAGCTTGTAGCAGTTCATCCTCAGCGGCTGAATGATGCAGCTTTTCTGTTTGGATCTGACCTGCAGGCAAGCAGGTCCCATCTCGCCCACTTCCTCGCCCGCTCTGTCCCTCTCCTCCATCACGTCGCACGGCAGGTCCGCCCACCTGGCGTGGAGGAAAAACACAGAGGCCAACATTTTTATTACGTTACTCACTTATTAAGCCATTCATCATCCTTTCCTCTCCACTTCATCTGATCTGTGAATCTGCTCACACTCAGTTAGAATTGTTTGTGCTCAGATAACGAAACAACAAGATGACGACACGTACGTGATATGATACAATAAGAAGCAGAGGAAAAAATAATATAAGAAACTATATAAGATAATGACACAATGAGTGAAATAATGAAACAATAGTAACAGTAAAAAACAACAGAACATATATATAAAATGATAAGTACAATGTAAACTACACATGTTCTATGTATACAGTATGCAGTGATAATATGATTGCATTTAAAAAAATGTGTGTTGCTGCCAGCATGTTTCCTCAGAACTGTTTGTTTCATTGTTGAAAAGCTTCAGAAACCTCCTCCTCCTGTTTCCTGCCCTCTTGGACATATTTTCTGTGTTCCCAGGTCTCAGCAGCTAATTTGGTGGTGACAACAGCCTACTATTGATAGTATAACCTGAATAAAGCCAAAGAATATGAACATAAGACACAAGTGTTATACTCATAATTCAGTCCTCGTTGTTGTGATATGGGCTTTGTAAAGTTTGTTTATGTTGTGCTGACGTCATGACTCCAGATGAGTGACATCAGGCAAAGGAAACAAAGAAAACAAGTATTTCCAGGGTGTGAACAGAGAACACATTGTTCAGTAGCCTCCAGGTTTTATGGCAGTGTTGATTTCAGCTTTCATTCACATGTAGAGATATTCAAAAAAACTGTATCTACTGTAAAAGGTAGTATACCTGGATCGGAGTTCGGGCTCAGTCCACTGTGTGTTCTTCCAGCTGCAATCCATAGAATCGATGTCCCCGTTGGTTACACAGTTTATATCAATGGAAGCTCCTGAAACACACACACACACAGAGAAACACTGATAAGTTTAAGAAAAAGAAAAATAAACCCAAGGAAGCCTCTGCACTGGGTTTACTTCAGGTCACATTGTTGTGATGTCACACATCAGCACTTGATTTCCTGTGTTTGTCCTCCGCAGCAGGAGGAAAGACACAAAATTAGAAGTGACTTTCTGTAATCCCAGAAATCTTAGTCTGCCTCGTTGGCCCGAATATTTCAAGAACCTTTTAACCGATTGGTTTAACACTTGGTATGTGTTTTACGGCCAAATGAGGTGCTTTGTAAAGCTACTGAAGTCTGCTACTCATCAGTGGTGATGTAACTTAAACTTTTAACTACAGCAGATTCACTCTTTGGGTCCCCTGGAACAACAACGAGGGATTCTCCAGTTCAGGGTTCTGCGTACTGACTCGAGCTTTAGTGAAGTTTGAATAAACAAGTGAGCGACTCTGGTGGTGCCGCTTCAGGGTTCTGTGGCCCAGAGCGGGCGTTGGACTAGTGATGGAAATTTCTCATTCATTTCTGAAAGTGTACGTTTATTTGTATTTTTTCATGAGCAGAATATGAAGTTTGATGTTGCACAGCTCACCCTCGACATAGATCTGGCTGTAAGGGTTGGTCCACTCCTTGGTGCACTGCAGCAGGTCGTACATCCGAGTCTCCGAAGGACGCACTGTGATCTGGCTGACCTGGTTTTGGGTAAAGGAAAAGTCAGATCTCTTACATTAACTTTTTTAAGTGGACTGTACTTTTCTGAAAAGAGAGTCTCTTATTACTCACCCATTGGTTGACGGGGTGGTACTGGCTGCGATGAAGCGTCTGCTGGAAGTTAAGAACCCATATGGCCGCGCTGGCGTTGACGCTGTGGTCATTGAACACACAATAGACGGTCACCTCTTCCCCCGCGTGGGTCACGACTTTCTCAGGGATGTAGCTCACAGCTGTGCACACAACGAAAAGTGTCACAACAAACTCAATTACCGTTTCTTTCTTAAATAATCCTTTCATAATTTTTTTCCACAAAAATACACTTTGTACTTATTCTTTCTTGTAGCAGAGGAAAAAACTCAAAGAATGACGAAGGGAATAAACAAGACTCAAACAAAGACCTTCAATCAAACAAAAGAAAATCATTTTCATTCGCCCACAATAAAATAAAACAAACAAAAAGGAGTTTTGAGGAAGTTTTTTGTTGTTGTTTGTCCCAAGGATGCTCTGAAATGAGTGAGGGGTGAGCTCTTTATCTAACACCTCTTCAGACACAATCCATGGGGACTGAATCATCAGCAAAGCAGGTGAAGAACTCGGAAAAAGAAAACTTTTTATTTAAATGAATCATTGTTTCCTGTCTCACTGTTGTTCAAAACTTTGTACAAAAAGCAAAAATGCCAATCTCTTGATGTAACCAGAGATAAAGTAAGCACCAACCTCATGAAAGTTCAGGCTCTCAGGAAACTTAAGGACAAAATTGAATGGGAAGTAATGCCAGCAATGCCAAATTCAAATGTAAATTTAAATCCACTTTCTTCATCAGTTTTTTCTCTGCATAGTTTAATAAACCCTCAACGAATCTCTTGAGCCCCAAACTCTGAAAACTGTGGCTCTGCAGGTATTTTCAAACAATTCCTTAAAACTTAGTGAACAATGTTGGCTGAAGTGAGTCACACATTCACAGTACAGAGGAAGAAAAACCTTGCAGCTGCGGAAAAAACCTTGCAGCTTGTCCAAAGAATTCTTTTGTATTTGTGTATGTGTCTGAGTTAGAAATGGTTCTTACTGTGAAGGTAGATGTGGTGACTTTCACTCCAGTCGCTCCACAGCGGAGGCTCGTCCAGGCCGGAGCAACGAACCTGGATGGTGTAGTTCAGGGTTGGCCTCAGATCCAGAGACAGTCTGGGCTCTGCTGATGAAACCACCTGCAGACAGAGGAGAGGAGAGAAGCAAACTTCTATTCAAAGATGAGTTTTACAGAAAGTGCAGGACTGAATCAAAATCTATCATCAGGACATGACTGCAGTGGCACATTCAAGTCGTGGTTGGGATAAATCATACTTTATTCGAATATAATTTTGTCCCGTGGGCCTCATTTAAAGCATTTTTTTGGAAATGTCAAATTACAAACCTGCCTCTGTGTGCAGACAATTTTTATTTTTCACTAAACGTTTAAAATACATTTAACGGTCTTATCTTAAAGGAATATCTTCGACAAAAAGGCATCAAAATAACTTTGAAGTAAACTAATGGAAATAATTTGAGAAACATGTGAATGAAAGCTGCATTTATTTATAAGAGTCTTATTAGCCAATGAGGAAATGTATTGCTGAACACTCAGTGCACTGTTGAATGCTGGATACACTCTGAGGCTGTTAAAACGGACTGTGAGCAAGTCGCACTGAGTAAACAAGGGCGTCAGTGGAAATGTGACCTGGATGAAAGCAGCAGTACTGAAAGGAAAAGCAAATATAGACTTAATTAAGTAAAATCTGTGCTTTTAAGTGTAAAAAAACTGTGTAGCACTGTTTCTAAAAAAACCTGAAGGATATGTCGACGTTTCTTTATTGCAGTGGTGCAGTGATCGGATATCACCTCGCAATATGAAGGTTCTGATTTGAACCTGACGGCTGGTTTAACTGGAGACTCTAAATCCCCTGTAGGTGTGAATGTGAGTGTCAGTGGTTGTTTGCTTCTACATGAATGTTTGTCTCTGTCAGTTCTGCCCTGTGCTGGCGACCTGTCCAGGGGGAACCTGGCAGCTGCAATTCGCTCCAGCCCCAGATAACAGATTGTGTGCAATTTCTTGTTCTGAAACGTGGAGCTAAACGGATATTTCTGCAGTCAGCTAATATCAGCTGAAATCAACCCGGCCAATTCATCACTTTAGCGTTTGAAGCGTAATTTGTACCTGACATAAAGAATTTCTCTGCGATTTTACAATTATACTTGATTGTTTCTACAAAGAGCTAAATGAAAATGTGAAGCTTCTCGTGACGGCTTCTGTGTTTTTGATAAAAAGTGACATTTTAGCTTTAGCACAGCGCTTAAAGATGACATGACTGCAACTGGGTCGCGTACTGCTTACCTAACAATTAGATCATAGTATTATAATAATCAAACTATTCAGCTTTTTCTCCATCATGTCAATAAATGTAAGATCTTTGATTTTTAGATTGCCGGTCTAATAAAAAAGATTTAAATGGAGCCATTTTTCATCTTTCTATTGATCAAGATACTCTGCAGGTTACCCTCATGTACGCAGTGTATAACAGGTTAGTATTTACCTGCCAGACCGGACGAGTGGTGGTGAAGGAGTATCGGACCTCATATCTCAGCGGACCAGTGCTGGAGTCTGAGGGGTCGTCCCAGAGTAAAATCAGTTCTGCCTCTATGGTCTGAATGTGAGACAGGTTGACCGGAGGACTCGGTTTCACTGCAGAAGAAGAACATGAACAAACTGAACTGTGTGTTCCACAACACAATCAATAATCAGACTTTCAGTCATAACGTTACTTTAATCCTTCTGTAAGAGCAGTTTGCATTTGTCACTAAATCCTATGCAATAATTGTAAATGAAATTAAAGGGATTACATGTTCCCAATAAAACATACATTTGTGTTTAATCCTTTCTACAGGTCACACATCATTCTCATTAGTCAATGAACACCTCAGCTAGTAATTTCCTTTCTTTGAAAAATAACACACCTGCAGACCTAAAGCTGGCCTGTGGTGTGATTACACTCATCTAAATGCAGCAAAGATCAATATTTAATGAATGGATCAGTCACGTCATGTTGCAGAGTTAATGAAAAATAAAGACACTGATTAATTTTAAAGCACGCTCGGCATTAAGGGCAAATACACTTCACCTATTGGTCTTTAAATATGAACAGGAGATATATGAAGCTCATGCACATAATAAACGTCAATAGGGGAATTTTGATTGAAAACCATGAAACATGAAGCCTCATACTGAAATGGATGGATGGGTTAGGTTTTATATTCACTGTCACTCACTGATGTGAAACAGGTGTAATAACAAACATGTCCCAGTTCAGCCGAGATAATTGACTCTAATAAAACCACAAAGACGTGGGTGTAGGAAGGATTACTCAACATCGTGAGTAACAGCTCAACCTTCTCTTTTCCAGACAGAAGATAATTTTCCTTCTGAAAGGATAATTTACATGTTTAAATTAGGGTGATGCAACATTTGATTACTTTCCAAATAATATATAGAATTACTGCAGCAAATAAATATTAAATCCAGAAAATACATGGTTAAATCTCAGACGCTGCTCTGCCCTAACAGTTTAACCAAGAGGACGAAACAAACACACCATGGAAAGTCCTTCTCTGTCACTGTGGAGACCTCACAGCTTAGACACACACACACACACACACACACTCCCTTGGCTCCGCAGCGCTCGGCTGTATTCCAGTCATGTCTTCCAGTCAGAAGTGAATTAATGTTTTCTTCTTATCTGTGTATGTTTCATCGCTTTGAAGCTTGACTTTGGTAAATGTTTAAAATCTCTCCAGATTCACACACAGCTGAGTTTATTCTCAGCACATTAATGCCAGTAACTAAAAGACTTAAATACTTGGTGCTGTTTTCATGACTTCCTGTAATTCCACTTAAAACTGTGCATCATATTCTAAAAAGTCTGGTCACACCTCCACGGTACCAGAATGTATATTAGCTGCCTTAATATTTCATATCTGCAGATTTCCCAGAGGCCTTTGTGAAAACTATCGTCCTTGAGAGGCCCAAACTTACTAATGGTTTATAAGTTATATGCAGAAACTGTATAACCCCAATCAGGCACTGCAGACTCCTTTATAATATAATGCTGTTCATAATCACATTCATTTATAGCATATGATGATGAAAAAGTTCATGCATTACTGCAGTGCATGATGTAATAGTGACATCATGATGAAGTCATTCCTACCATGTGATCTTAGGTTACTTCTTAGATCTATATAGGCCTATACGATGCAGAGATACCTGCATGACATCATTTTCTGACCCTGTCTGACTTCATGACGTCCTTCATCATATGACATAATATGATGGGGAATATGATGTATCTCTGATCAATATAATCTCTCTAGCTTCATTAGGGTTAAACTGACACGTTATTAAGTGATTTAAAATAAAAAGTAGAAAGCAAATCTCATATCTCCATAAGTTAATGATTTACCAACATAAAGTGACCCCTGCCTGAACTGTTCAGTAAAATAAATACTCATCTGCCTTCCTAAACTAGTGCATCTTATAAACCACTTTCATACCAGGCCGGGCAGGAATCCTGAGCTGAACCAGCGGAGCTTTGGTGTTGGAGATGCTGACAGTAACCACAGAGATGAAGCTTGTCGTGGTGTCAAGAGCAACGGAACAACTGAAGGACTCCTCCGCTTCACAGACGACAGGATTGTCAGACATAGTTTTCCCATCGTTCACCCGTGAATCATCTTTCTGGGACCTGGACAGAGAAACAGTGTAGGAAAATATAACAACTTTAAATTAAGAAAATTTTCTGAAAACTACATATGCAAAGATATGTTTTTTTATCAGTATCTTGGAGCATTATGGAAAAAATCTTTAAAATACCTTTAAATCATTCTTTAAATTTGTTTTTCTCAGGTGTAAGGTGCACCGAAAGATAATGAAATGAAACTTAATCCACTAATGTAGAATCCAGAATGAAAATTGTTGGGCTAGGGTTGTAATAATAATTTACTTTGACTGTGTTTGATGCTGTGCAACATGTAATATCTACAGTATATACCTGGCTCCTCTTATCCAGTGTGTGTTACAACGGTTTCTCTTTAACCCCACAAATAGAGATCTGGAGCCAGTGTGATATCACTCGGCTTCCCCTGTGCTTATCAAACACACATGCTGAGCCCCCCCCACTGAGCACGTGCACACACACACTCTGGCATGAATCAAACAATAAGAGCAACACAGGGTGATACTCACAACAGACGCTGGAAGCTGATCCCCACAAGACCTGCGTCCTCAGCGGTTGATGTTTGAGACTTTAGATCACAAGTCAATTTTTCCCAGTTTTCATCGATCCTGCACAGTATGTCCAAACAGGTGCCTGATGAAAAAATTAGATTTTCATGTTAGCGGCAGCGTCTGTGTTATTCCCCCACATGTCGTCCACCACTTGAGTGTGACCCCCCCCCAATGGAGGCTTCTGAGAAACGCCTCAGTATTTCATGCTGAGGCATGCTTCTGCTTTATTATTATCAATGCAAGTACTAAGAGGCTCAGCTGAGCAGGTTTAGTAAAGAGAGGAAACGTGATGTTGGATTTATTCAGGTTGAAGCTCTAAGAATTCATTATTCAGGATCATTCATAATATTTAATAATTTAGATGGTAGTGGCTCTAGCTCTGGTGTTAAAGCTGCATTGTAAGTGGTGCAGGTCGGAGATAAAGTAAAAATCTAAACATCAGGGTTTATCTGCAGGGGAGCATGAATGTTTAAAAAAAGCATAGATGTGATGATGTATTAGCATTTAAGCTTTCGATTTGTTGTGTGACCGTAAGACACCAATTCATAAGAAAACGTGGATTTATTTTCAATTATAAAATCTAACCTTGCTAATATTGTTCAAACCAACAGACTGCCATTAAAAAAAAGGTCAACTGTCTCAAACCGTTCCATTATTTTGAACTTTGTTTGCTTTAAAGATAATTTGCCTTCCATACTGACTCATAAGTGATTAAAGTGTGTCAACAAAACTTCCACTTTACCACGTCATCTGCCACATGACCTCTGTATACCAAATAATTTCATACTCATACATTTTATTTTGGCCTTGGCCCTGCGGAGAGCTCACAAAAGCTGTGAAGGAGACGACTAAGTCTGACTAACAAGCAAGTAAAGAAGAAAAAGACTCTTTGAAACTCTAATCACACCCTGTGGACTTCGATGTGTGTGTAACATCGAGCTGAATCACACTCTTGTCGAACATAAAGTAATCAAGATGCACAACGCACACCTTTAACGTCTCTGTTTAATTACCACTGCATAGATGAGGCTCTGCCACCATTGACTTGGATGCGTCACAGCCCGTCTCACAGATCGATGCAAACACACAAATCTTCACCCCCTCCGATGCCTCATTGTTGGCTCACCTCCACCATCACCTCCACGCTGACAATATTAAGAGATCATGTTATAACGACTACGGCGTTCAGCAGTGCATAAACTTCCACCAAGGCCAAGCAATCCTGCACAAGCCTTTTTTACCTTGATAGGAAATTAAAAAAAGGAAAATGGAGATAGCAGGATCATCGTCACCAAATTGAACAAACTGAAAGAACACAATAAATATGTCTGAACACGTTATTTCTTAAGGGACTACTGAAAATGGGGAAAATCCTAGTTCTGCCCCTGTTCTTGTGATGAACCTCATGAACCCGACTGTGTGATCACAGCCCAGGACTCACGTCCTCGCCCACCTTGACAGGAGGGACGCTGGACAAAAATTCATTAAAGTGTAATGAGCCAGTCAGGCTGATCTCTGGGGGCATCTCTGTCAGAGACGAGCGACGTGGCCGTGGGCAAAACACGAGGCTGTGTCATGCTATCACCTGCAGTTTGTTCTGATGAGCAAACCTGCCTGTTGCTACGTGGGATCACAAGTGTATCGCTTTGAAGTGCCTGGTAAACAAACACAGTGAGCTGCCTCATGCAGAAATCAATGTGTGTTCGACTCAACGGGGAATAGCACAAAACTATCTGCGTCACGTGACAAAACACGGCTCTATAGCACTACTAGTGGTCAAGAACTCCATGTGATACCTCTAAAATTGTAGAAACCACCATTTCAGGAGCAGTGTGTAACTAGAATGACACAGTAGAGCGCAAACCTCCGCCAAGGCCCAACAAGACCCTTAGATTCAATCAAGCTTTTATGTTAGTGTTGCATATTAAACTGTTGGAATTGTATCAGAAACAGAAGATAAGCAGTTGCACCACCTGCGTTGTAAAGTCTGATACTGAAATCCTTTTTTACAATCCTCACAATGACAGATAAAATAATCACTTTTCATACCAGTGTTGAATGAACTCTTGAGGTCAGAGGCCTCACGAGGACGTGACTCGGTTGTCAAGCTGCTGAAGCTGCAGTGGGGATCGTGAGGAAGCTTTGATTCAGAGCGGTTTGTCTCCGGTATGTTAAAGTGGGTTGTATGCGAGTCACAGCACAGCTCATCGTGCCATGGGAGGTCCAGGGCCTGGAGAGAGGCTCCATCCTCGGGTTTCAAACACCGAACACCTGCTACAGAGAAACAAACAAGTTAACTCAGGTCTGACACAGTGGGAAGAAAAAATAAAAGGTTTTATTTTGAATGTTTTGTCTGCATCATTTGAACAACATGACAGTATGATGAATATCTTGCAATGTATTCTATCAATATCAGTTTTCTTACATTTGTATAAAATTATTAAGTTTGAGTCTGAGTTTCAACTTTTTATATAAATATATACGTATTGTAAGGTTGTATAAAGGTTATAATATTAAAATTGAGCTAAACAATGTAACATGAAAAGAAAACATGATTTCTTTTAAGTTAAATGAAATAAATAAAATGTATTTCCCATTATTGGCACATTGCTCTTCTTATAACTCAATAAATCCTATTCACAATTTATATTCATCATTTTATATATATTTCATTCAATAACCACATGGCAGTATTTGCAGGATATAGTGTAAGGTCAGGTTGAATCATTGTCCTTTTATTAATTGCCTTATTGCTCATTAGTACATTTACTCATTCTATTCTCACTGCCCTTCAACCATGCGTTTTGCTGCACAGCTGGTTTAGTCATCCTGAGAAACTAGGAAATAGATAAGAGAATCCGTTCACTCCCTGTGAGACACAAAGCTGTCTTTGTAAGTGTCACAGAACACAATCAACTGTAGGTTAAAGAATATTTTCTCCTTATGCTCGGGGTCAGAAATCTTGATTCACTCTCGGTGTGAGACTCTGTCCTCCTCTAGCTGGAAAGAGATTTTCCTTGCAAATATTTTTTTTTCTTTAATAAAACATGAAAGGCAAGTCTGTTTCATCTGCTTGTTTGTTTCACCTCTTATTTCACCTCGGGGATATTTTTAGTCATAGTTGGATTCTGTTCTTGTAGGAGTCATTGTTTATTATCACTAGCTGTGTCTGTGAAAATCAGTAAGAAGGCCACGAGGAGAGAATAAGGACCTTGTTAGTGAAAACCTGACAGGTTGTAGATTTCAGGACATGCAGGTGAAAGTTATGATCAAACAAGCTGCTCTGACTGTGGATGTCATTTTGGCAGCTTTAACAAAATGTGCTGTTAACAAGGGAAATAGATCTGACCACGATCCCACTGTAATAACTCTCAAGGACTCGTGTGTCAACACTGGTGTGAAGCTGTGGTGTCCTGAGCATCAGGGGATTAAATGGATTTACTCATTGTGACCAGTGTTATTTCCTCAAACCTCAGATTGAGGATACAAATGTCAGTCAGAAAAAAACTACTGCTGATATCTGATAAAGAAAAGCAACAAGGATTTCAGGTTTTTAATAACATGGAAGAAGTCATGAGAACTGGGGTACAAAACATCCAACTGTATTGTAAATATGATGCATTGAAATTGTATCATACTTTTTTCTGGTACTGAGGTTACTATTGGGCAAGGTTTATCAATGAATTTAATGTTGAAGTACTTTTAAACATCTGTTATAATTTACCCAAAGGTTTGTTTTGGTAAATCACTTTGGTTACAGAGCTTAAAGCGGAAAATAACTTTTACTCTTTGTTAAAACCTTTAACTTTGTAGGATGTGTATTTTCAGACAACTATCAAGAAGCCAAAATATACAAGATTGCATTGTGTGTATTCATTTATACATGTTCAAAATATTTAAAGAAAACAAAAGTGATCCCGTTACAGAACCCTGAGGGACTCCTTCATAGAAACATACCAGAGATTACACCCCCAACAAAGACAGTCTCCTGTGAGGTTGTTCCGACATCTAGTTTCCTCCAGATTGATTTTGTTACATATCAGTAGAATAGAACTGTTCACTAAACAAAGCACATTCCTCTGATGTTTTGGACAACTCACCAGGGGACACCAGGATATTATGCATCAGGAATGTCAACATTACGGACTGAAACCTGCAGAGAGACAGCGAGAAGAATGGATGGAGAGAAAATAAAAAAGGGGGGAGAAGAGATAAAGAGATAATTAGTTAGAAAATCTACAAAAAGCAAAAGTTTAGTGTTATAGATAAGAAGAGTTTAAGTGAATAATAATCCTCAATAAACATAAAACACATGTAAAT